CTGCGGGGGGAGGGGAGGCTGAGGGAGGTGATGGAGCCGGACGTCAGTCTGGCTCTTCAGTCTGGCTCCAGAGCGCGGCCTGGACGGTCCCGGCTGGTCGGGACTACCCGGGACCCGGTTTGGATCCCACAGCATGCAGGGTCCCTAGAGAGGCATCTGAAACCAAACCCTCCTTCCTCCCCCAAAATATTCTTTCAGTAATTTGGTAGAAGGATGAAAAGCTGGTGTCCGGTGCCCCCACCCCCGCATAAGGGGTGCTTTTCGTGCTTGCAGTTTACAGTTGAGAGGCCTGCCATGAGGGCATGAATATTGTCTTTGAAGTAGACCCGCCAAGTGGGTGTGCCCAGTGTAAACAAAAAATAAAATGTTAAGCACCCTCCACCCCCAGCCCGCTGAATGAAGCCCCTGTGGACCAAGGGAAACCTGAAAAAATATACTCCAGGCCAAGTGTAAGGGTAAACTGAGGCAAGGTGGGCCGGTGGCATGGGAATAATGCAAGACTGCAGCAAACAAGGAAGTGGAAAGAAGCAAAGTGTGCTTGTTTGTTTTTTCTTTGAGTCAGGGTCTCACTGTCACCCAGGCTGGAGTGCAGTGGCACACTCACAGCCACCGCAGCCTCAACCTGCTGGACTCAGGGGATCCTTCTGCTTCAGCCTTCCAAGTAGCTAGAACTACAGGCACATGCCCGCATGCCCCGCTAATTTTTTGACAGATTTTAGAGATGAGGTCTCACCAAGTTGCCCAGGCTCGTCTCGAACCCGTGGGCTCAGGCAATCCTCTCACCTCGGCCTCCCAAAGTACTGGGGTTATAGGCATGAGCCACTGCAGCCTGCAGAGTCTTGGATCTTGACCTCCCCAGACACCAGCAGCTGGTGACCTCTGTAGTGGGCTGGAGATAGGTGACAACAATGTATCACTGCAGAAGCCTCCCAGGGGTGGGCTGGAGGTCATTGTGGACAGCTGTTAGAAGGCCTGGAAGAAAGATTGTTAGGAGGACTGGACATGCTGAAGGGAGTTTGAATAATAACTGATTTCTTTTTTATTTTTTTGAGTTGGACTCTCACTCTGTCGCCCAGACTGGAGTGCAGTGGCTGCTCCCGGCCACTGCAGCCTCGACCTGCTGGGCTGTGGCGATCCTTCCGCCTCAGCCTTCTGAGTAGCTGGAATTACAGGCATGTGCTACCACGCCCGGCTGATTTTTTGATTTATTGTAGAGATGAGGTCTCGCCAAGTTGCCCAGGCGGGTCTCAAACCCACGGGCTCAGGCAATCTACTCACCTCAGCCTCCCAAAGCACGGGATTACAGGCTGAGGCACCGAACCTGGCTTAATAGCTGATTTCTAAGACCTGACCCAGGGAAACCCGTTCTGGGAACCAGTTTTGGGAAAGGTGATTTTTCTGATTAATGATTGTAAGGTAAGAGGGATATGGAAGCTGTGTAAGATGCTTAGCAAAGCGTGTCGGTGGTAAAACTTAAGCAAGCAAAATGGCTATACGAGGGCAAAATGGTTGTCCTGAAGCTCAATCTGTTCTAAGGTTCTTGGGTTCCCTCCTTTCACCAAGATAGGAAAGGAGGGAGGACACACCTCATACCCTCCCTTGTGAGTTTTAGGCACAACTGACCGGCATTAACATTAAAAGAGGAATAATTAGATGGCCAGGGGGCAGTGGCTCACACCTGTCATCCCAGCACTTTGGGAGGTGGAGGCAAGAGCATCAGGAGCTTGAGACCAGCCTGGGCAACTTGACAAGACCTCATCTCTACAGTAAATCAAAAAATCAGCCAGGTATGGTGGCGCATGCCCGTGGTTCCAGTTACTTGGAAGGCTGAGACGAAAGAATCGCCTGAGTCCAGCAGGTCGAGGCTGCTGTGGCCGGGAGCCTGCGACTGCACTCCGGCCTGGGTGACAGAGTGACACTCCCACTCAAAAAAAAAGATAATTAGATTCATAGGATGCCAAATTCCAGTCTGACTCTGGTCAACCTGACTCATCGCATGACAGATAGCAGACCCTAAAGGAAATAAAATGCCTTACCCCAAAATATGTCTCTTTGACACATTTTGAAGGGACCCTGCAAAGCCCTTTCTTGGGGAAATTTGCATTAATAGAGAACTCTTTAAACCATCTACCGCCTATTCTCTCTGAAGCCTGCTACTTAGGGGTTCTCTCTACCTAACAAGAGTATTGTCTTGAGCCAGGATTACAGGTGGCCAACATCTGTAATCCCAGTACTTTGGGAGACTGGGGATGGAGGACTGCTTGAGGCCATGAGTTCCAGACCAACCTAGGCAATATAGCAAGACCCCCTTATATTTAAAAAAAAAAAAGAACCTTGTTTTACTGATTTCAACTTCTTTTTTTCCCCCTTTGAGTTGGAGTCTCACTCTCACCAGACACATGTTCTCTAGACTTCTTGGGACTGTGCCATGGACCTTGGCCACTCACATCTGACCCAGAATAAACCTCTTCAATTATTTTACAGAGGCCACACTGTGCAATGAAGATGATGTGAACCTCTGAACAGTCAGTCTTTCATATCAACGCCCCAATTGTCAGAAGAACGTCATGTGTTGTGTGTGCATGATATCTGTGGCACTTTGTCCCCAGGAGGTTGTTCCAGTAGGAGACATTAGTCATGGTAATAGCTCTTGGACAATCGTAGGAGGAATCAGGAAATAGGATGTGTCACATCAGCTTTGTCATGTCAACAGCATGTCTAGCACCAAACCTATTCCACTCAAACCTGCTTCTACTTGGTGGTTGGCATTAATGGTCTCCCAGTCATTGCAGTTGGAACTAGAGAGTCATCTGCAGGTTTTCCTTCTGCTCATAAACCATCATTCTTCTCTCACCAAAGTCTCTAATTCCAGATTTGAGGCCTAAGCCCAACACATGGTCTATGGGGGCATTTATATAAACTGGAATTAGTGCACATTCCTGTCCTTTCTAGCTGTTCTTTTTTTGAGTTGGAGTCTCATTCTGTTGCCCAGGCTGGAGTGCAGTGGCACGCTCATGGCCACTGCAGCCTCAACCTGCTGGGCTCTAGAGATCCTTCTGCCTCAGCCTTCCAAGGAGCCGGGACTACAGGCTCGCACTACTATGCCCGGCTCATTTTTTTGATTTATTGTAGAGACGAGTTCTTACCATGTTGCCCAGGGTGGTCTCAAACCCGCGGGCTCAGGCAATCCTCTCGCCTCGACCTCCCAAAATGCTGGGATTATAGGCCTGAGTCACCGTGTCTGGCCTCTAGCCATTCTTTACATGTCAGCTCTTCACTCTCCTACTCAAAAGTGTTTGATGATATCTCATTCCTTGCCCAAGAATCTCAAGTTCTTCAACTCAAGGTCCGGTGCAGTGGCTCATGCCTGTAACCCAGCATGTTGGGAGGCCGAGGTAGGAGGATTGCTTGAGCCCAGAAGTTCAATACCAGCCTGGACAACATAGTGAGACCTCGTCTCTACAAAAATTCAAAAAAAGGAACCAGGCATGGTGGGGCACACCTGTAGTTCCAGCTACTTGGGAGACTGGGGCAGAAGGATCACTTGAGCCCAGGAGGTCGAGGCTGCAGTGCCATGATTCTACCACTGCACTCTAGCCTGGACGACAGAGTGAGACTCCGACTCAAAAAAATACAGTATTGTCATTCTATCTCCATAGCATCCCTCTCCCCAAACTCTTGTTTAGTTCTCAGGTCTCATGTATCTACTCTGTTCCCTGGATGTTCCTGTGTGTTTCCATCTTGGTATCTTTGATTGCTTTGTTCTCCCCCTTGAACACCATTACTGCACATCACTGATGGTCCTACCTTGGCCAGTTCTTCTGGTCAGCTTCTGAAGATATTCTACTAGATTTTTCTGTCATTTCATAATACTTTACTCTCTTTAATGGTTCTCCTAAAATCTGCCTTACCTTACAGTTAAAGAGCACATGAGCTTTCTCCTCCGCTGTTCATTCCCTTTATGATTATACAGTTTTTGTTTGTTTGGTTGTTTGTTTGTTTTTGAGTTGGAGTCTCACTCTGTCACCCAGACTGGAGTGCAGTGGCCGCTCCCGGCCACCGCAGCCTCGACCTGCTGGGCTCCGGCGATCCTTCTGCCTCAGCCTTCCAAGTAGTTGGAATTACAGGCGCTCGCTACCACATCCGGCTCATTTTGATTTATTATAGAGATGAGGTCTCGCCAAGTTGCCCAGGCGGGTCTTGAACCCGTGGGCTCAGGCAATCCACTCACCTCAGCCTCCCAAAGGCGCGGGATTACAGGCTGCGCCACAGAGCCCGGCTGAGTATACAGTTTTTAAGAGCTAGAATTCTCAGTTATTCACCATTTCAGTTCTTCACAGGCTTTTGATTGCTATGGCAGGGATCCCTGAAATATTTGTGAACTTGATTACATTTAGAATGGTGAACATTTGACTTAAGAAGACCTTACAACTAAAACATGGGGTGCTGAAATTTATTGTATTTATTTATTTTTTGAGTTGGAGTCTTACTCTGTTGCCCAGGCTGGGGTGCAGTGGCACAATCATGACGAACATGGCTCATGGCAGCCTCGACCTCCCAGGTTCAGCCGATCCTTCCACCTCAGCCTCCTGAGTAGTTGAGACTACAGGTGTGTGCCACTATGCCCCGACTACTTTTTAGATTTTTTGTGGAGATAAGGTTTTGCTGTGCTGCCCAGGTTGGTCTCAAACTCCTGGACTCAAGTGATTGTCCCACTTCAGCCTCCCAAAGTGCTGGGATAATAGGCAGGAGTCCCCGCACCTTGTAGGATGCTGAAATTTATCACTTGTTAGAAACTACTTGTTTCGACCCGGCTCAGTAGCTCAGCCTATAATCCCAGCACTTTGGGAGGTCGAGGCGAGCGGATTGCCTGGAACCCCAGGTTTGTGACCAGCCCGGGCAACTTGGCGAGACCTCATCTCTACAACACATAAAAAAATGAACCGGGCATGGTAGTGCACTCCTGTAGTTGCGGCTACTTGGAAGGCTGAGGTGGAAGGATCGCCGGAGCCCAACAGGTCGATGCTGCAGTGACTGTGAGTGTGCCACTGCACCCTAGCCTGGGAGAGGAGTGAGACTCCAACTCAAAAAAAAGAAAAAGAAACTACTTGTTTCATCATCCTGGCATGTTGTTCCTACATTCATTTCTGTCTGTTGATTTTTGTCTTTTAATGCACCTTCTTCATGAATACATTTCACAATATTGTACAGTTTTAGTCATGATGTTTGCCCAGTGACTGGCAAATCTAAAAATCTAGTTGTAAGCTTGGTGGCTCAGCCTGTAATCCTGTGCTTTGCGAGACTGAGGTGAGTGGATTGCCTGAACCCGTGGGTTCGAGACCCGCCTGGGCAACTTGGCGAGACCTCATCTCTACAATAAATCAAAAATCAGCCGGG